GGTTCGGCTGTAGGGTGTGCCGAAACGTGTGAGTGGTGAGCCGAAATGGGTGTGGGGGACGCATGCGGGCGGTGGCACTGGGGCCTTCGGTGGAACTCCCTATGGGGCCACGAAACGTGTGATGGGGTGTGCCGACATTGGTGTGGGGGACGCATGCGGGCGGTGGCACTGGGGCCTTCGGCGGAGCTCACTATGGAGCCACGAAGCGTGTGAGCGGTGTGCCGAAATGGGTGTGGGGGCCGCATGCGGGCGGTGGCACTGGGGCCTTCGGTGGAGCTCCCTATGAGGCCGCGAAGCGTGTGAGAGGTGTGCCGAAATGGGTGTGGGGGCCGCATGCGGGCGGTGGCACTGGGGCCTGCGGTGGAGCTCACTATGGAGCCACGAAGCGTGTGAGCGGTGTGCCGAAAGGGGTGTGGGAGACGCATGCGGGCGGTGGCACTGGGGCCTGCGGTGGAGCTCCCTGTGAGGCCACGAAACGTGTGAGGGGTGTGCCGAATTGGGCGTGGGGGACGCATGCGGGCGGCGGCACTGGGGCCTTCGGTGGAACTCCATATGGGGCCACGAAACGTGTGAGGGGTGTGCCGAAATGGGTATGGGGGACGCATGCGGGCGGTGGCACTGGGGCCTTCGGTGGGACTCCCTATGAGGCCACGAAATGTGTGAGCGGTGTGCCGAAATGGGTGTGGGGGACGCATGCGGGCGGAGCCACTGGGGCCTTCGGTGGAACTCCCTATGGGGCCACGAAATGTGTGAGGGGTGTGCCGACATGGGTGTGGGAGACGCATGCGGGCGGTGGCACTGGGGCCTTCGGTGGAGCTCCCTTATGGGGCCACGAAGCGTGTCATGGATGTGCCGACATGGGTGTGGGGGACGCATGCGGGCGGTGGCACTGGGGACTTCGGTGAAATTCCGTATGGGGCCACGAAACGTGTGAAGGATGTACCAACATGGGTCATGATGCTGGTGATGATGACGGTCGTGATGATGATGACGATGATGACGATGGTGATGATGATGATGACGCTGATGGTGATGATGATGACGATAATGACGGGAGGAGAGAGGAAGGGGGAGGAGGAGGAGGAGGAGAGGAAAAGGAGAGGAACGCGGGGCGACGTCTCTTCAAAACGAGGACCCAACACCACAGGATGGTTGGTCCTGCCGCCCACGTCGCAAGATGCGTAGCAGGAGTGGGACGCGACGCGCACCCCGCGCGAAAAGGCAATGTGCCTTTCTCGCCATGGCGCCGCGCACATGTTTTCTGAAAGTGGCGTTCCCACTAAGGCGCGGCGCACAGTTTCCGCTCGCCACACCCCGCGCGAAAGGGCGAACTGTCGTCTCGCCTTGGCGCCGCGCTTATTGTTTCTGAAAGTGGCGGTCCCGCTTAGGCGCGGCGCGCAGTTTCCGCTCGCCAATTCATGGGGGGCCTGGGTCTCCTTGCGCCCTCCTGGGGCCTCCTGCTGTTTCCTGGGGCCTCCTGGGGCCTCCTGCAATTTCCTGGGGCCTCCTGGGGTCTCCTGGCGTGTCGTGGCGTGTCCTGGGGCATGCTGGGGCCTCCTGAAGCCTCGTGGGGTTTCCTGGGGCAGACTGAAACCTCCTGAAACCGTGTGGCGTTTCCTGGGGCCTCCTGGGGCCTCCTGAAACCTCTTGCGGCCTCCTGCGGTCTCCTGAAGTTTCCTGGGGCCTCCTGGGGGTTCGTGGACTTCCCCGGTCCTCCTGGACAAATTCCTGGCGTTTCCTGGGCCTTCCTGGGTGAAGATTCACCGGGGCCTTCCGAGGTCTCCTGGGGCCTCCTGGGGCCCCCTGGGATCCTCGAGCTTATTTGGGCCACCGGAAATTTCCTGGGGCCTCCGCGGACATCCTCGATTCGTTTTGAAACGCCCGCGCAGCCATTGAGACGAACTGGGGGGTTCCCATCACTAACCGCCATCGCAGCCGCATCTGCTGTGCCAAACCAGCTGGCCGATGTGATTTCGGCCCCCACTTGTGCCAGCACTGTTTCTTATGTTGTGGGAGGGCGGGTGGGATTGGGAATGTCATGCTTGACTCGCTCGAGCTGGTTAGCTTGACGTCCCTACCGCCGACCCGCTGCTCACTACTCGCGACTCACTACTCGCTACTCCTTACCCCCTACTCACTACTCACTACTCGCTACTCGCTATTCCTTACTCCCTACTCGCTACTCGCTACTCCCCATTCACAACGCATACTACTCCCTACTTCCTCCCCGCTACTCCCTTATTCATTACTACTTACTACTACTCACTACCCACTACCCACCATTCTCTACTCACTACTCCCTACCCACTACCCGCTACTCACTACTACCCACGATTCACCACCCACCTCCTCCGGCGCAGAAAGGAGAAGCGGGAGAGGCTCCCTCCCCGGCCCCCTGTCTGGCGCAAAAGGGCCCCCCGCTTTCCAGCAAAAAACGAGGGGGGGTCCGAAATTCTGCCCCCCCCCCCTCTGCGAACAACCCCCCCTTTACAATTACCGGGGCACCCAGCGGCGCGCTTTCCCAATGCTGCCTTCAACGTCGAGCACGGGTGCGGCAACTCGCCCGTGGCAATTGTGGACGGCATGTCTGGAACGTCCGCGCGACAACCAACAGCGGCCTTCGGTGGGAGACCCTGGCGCGCCTGCGTGGAAACCTTGGCGCTTTGTGCCGAGCTGAGCCAAGGTAGTTCTACGTTGGATGCTGCGCAAGCCCCTGCCAGTGCAACTGAGGTGGAATACCACGCATGAGGTCGAGAACTCACGACGAGACCTGGTTCCCTGTGCACCCCCCCTGTGGTGTGGACAGAGCGCCGCGCCTGCCTCGCCCCCGCGACGCTGCGGATAGAAACCGCGGTGAAGGACCACCCCCTGCGCACACCCTGCGACCTGGAGTAAATGCCAAGCGTGCCACTCCCCACAACCCTGAGACGGATGGAGACCGCGGTGAGGGACCACCCCCTGCGCACCCCGTGCAGTGTTGAGGAAATGCCACGCCTGCCACGCCCCGCGACCCTGAGACGGATAGAGACGAGAATGAGGGATCACACCCTGCGCACTCCCTGCGGCGTAGAGGAAATGCCGCGTTTGCCACGCCCCCGCGACCCTGAGACGGATCAAAGACCGCGGTGAAGGACCACCCCTGCGCACCACCCTGTGGCGTGGAGGAAGTGCCACGCCTGCCACGCCCCGCGACCCTGAGACGGATCAAAGACCGCGGTGACGGACCACCCCCTGCGCACACCCTGTGGCATGGAACTTGGAAGTGCCACGCCTGCCACGCCTCGCGACCCTGAGACGGATAGAGACCGCGGTGAAGGACCACCCCCTGCGCACCCCCTGTGGTTCGGAGAAAGTGCCACGCTTGCCACGCCCCGCGACCTGCGGTCCGCGTCTGTGTGTATTGCGTATGTGTATCATGCGTGTACGGTAGTATACGTCTATATCATGCTGGCGTCGTGCTGCGTCTGACAGAATGTTCGATTGTGTATGGTGCGCGCAGGAGTGATGGCGAGAAGGAGAAGGAGAGGGGGGAGTGTGTGTGTGGGAGCGCAGATCCAGATCCCATGTGGGTGGGAGGGCTCACCAAATATGTGAGGCGTGGGCCTTGCGGGTGTGACGCTGTTGAAGGAAACCAGAAACCCACGAAACCTGTACGGAATAAACTAAATGTTGGAATCCTGTGGGGAATAACAATATGTTGAAATCCTTGTGTGCGAAAAATATACGCGGAGGCAGCCGGTTATCTTCTAGACGGGGTCAAGAGAGAGAGAGAGAGAGGAGCGCTGCACAGATAGTGTATGATTGAAGAGGGCTGCAACGGCATCTTGGCATGGAAGAAGCATGTTCTGATGGAAACAAGTCCTAGACCCCAGGGTTTTACCCTAGGAATGACGTTTCAACCTGCGTCGGTGTTTGACAATCTCGGGGCCCGCGGAGGGCTCAGGAAGCCACAACAAATGTGAAACAACTACAGGCCTCTTTCCCTCAGCATCGTTTTCTTCCATGGCGAGCCATCGTCAGCAGGCGAGGCCCCATTGGTCAAAGAAGTTGTAGTGCAGAATGAGGGCGCCATTCAACGACTAGGAGGTGCCGATCGACGGCCAGGTGCGTGCCGCTCCTGCTGTTTAGAGATTATGACACATCCTGCGTCATAGAAGTGATGGATGTCCTGGAAGTGACGCTCCCCACAGTGGAGGAGACCAGCCATGATCGAGGAAAAGAGGGACGAAGTCGTCGCAACCACACTTGCAAAGGCCCCGCGGTGTGGGAGCCTACTCCTCCCCCTCCCCCTCTTACTTTCCGTCCTCCTCCTCCTCCTCCTCCTCACCATCACCATCGCCATTACCATCACCATCACCATCATCGTAATCATCATTATCATCATTCTCCTGATTCTCATTATCGTCGTCATAATCAGCATCACCATAGTCATCATCATTTCCATCGCCATCTTCATCATCATGCTTCTCCTCATCATCATCATCATCTTCGTCAGCATCATCACCATCATCGTCATCGTCATCGTCATCATCATCAACATCAACACTGTCCTCATCATCAGCGCAACCATCAGCACTACCACCACCCCATCATCAGCAGCAGCATCGTCATCATCAGCAGCATCATCATCATCACCACCACCGTCATCATTACCATTATCACAAACAGTATATCATCAGTATCAACAGCCGCAGCAATATCAGCATCAGCATCAGCAGCATCACGTTTCTTCTCCCCCTCCTCCTCCTTCTCCTCCTCTCCATCAGTAGCAGCAGCAGCAACATCAGCATAAGCAGCAGCAGCATCAGTATCAGCATCTGTATCAGCATCAGCAGCATCATTTTATCCTCCTCCTCCTCCTCCTCCTCCACCTCCTCCTCCTCCTCCTCCTCCTCCTCCTCCTCCTCCTCATCCCCATCAGTAGCATGAGGACGCGACAAGGGGGGCAGCGGCAACAGCGCGGCAGCTCTCCCTCCCCCGCGCCGGGCCGCGCCGGGGGCCTCGTCGCCCTTGGAGCGCGCCACCATGAAGCAGAGCAGCGACACGGCGGCGCCAGCGCCGCCGCCCTCCTCGAGCAGGGCGGGCGAGGCCTGCGCCCGACCCAGAAGATGGAACGAGCGAGCGAGCTCTGCCATCGCCGGGAAGGGACGGCGTCCGTGCAAGCGCCAGGGAGGCAGAGGCGCGCCCGCAGAGCGCAGAGCGTGTACGAGGGCCACTGGCTGCAGGGCTGCCCCAGCCACAGACACACGAGGATACGAAGTTGCTCCAATGCGGATGCGATGAACTATTCTGGGGGAACAAAGGTCCCGACCACTTCCCCCCGGCTAGTTTTTCTTACTGGGTCGTTTTCCGACGGCCCCGAGGCCCGGTGAGGGCCCCCTGAGGCCGAAGACTGCCAAAAACCTCCCGTCGCGATTGTTTCGCAACGAAGAAGTGAGGAGAGGGGGAAGATCTCTTCGACGGCGGGCGCCATTCGACCTCGAAGGTGGCACAAACGATGGCGGCGCCCTGCGGGCAAGCCGCCCTGCCCCTGTCAGGGCCCCTGCTGAACGCCCTCTCTGAGGAAGCTCAGGTGGCTCCATGGCCGTGTGGCCATCCAGGCGCAAGTGGCTCCCGCACGCGTGGGGGCTCCCAAGAGGAGGGAGAGGCGGAGGGCGGAGGCGGATGATGAGATCCACTTCGGTTCGCTCACATTCAGGCTCAACTCCAATGGTTGAGACGGATCTCGCTCTCTGTGTCATGCACCTCTCTCTCTCTCTGTCGTATTCGACGCGGGAGAACCTGTCGAAGCCCGCACGGCGAGCTCTGTGATGGCGGGGGGCGAAGACTGAGGCTCTCGGAAATTCTTTACTGTGTTGGCGCCTCCGCGAGCACCTGGAAGCCTTGGGGGAACTTCAGGAAGCCTCCAAGGAGTTCCGAAGTCGTCTTCTAACAGTCCCAGGGCCGGGAAACGGCCTCCGGAGGCTGAGAACGACGGAAAACTGGCTGGCACGATCTTGTTTGGCGTCGTCTGGATCTGAAAGGAGGGCGAGGAGGGGCAGCGACGCGAGCAAGAGCCGGGAAGGGCAGAAGGAGGCAGAGAGCGGACGGGGCGGCGGTGGAGAAGGATGCTCTCGGCCAAAAAGGCCCCCAAGAGGCCTCCCAAAAGAACCCCAAGAGACCAAACTCACTGATGTCATGTAAATGTTCGATAGATTTTGACATTTTCGCCTTTTTGGCTTCACGACGCTCCCAGGCGGCCCTAGAAGCCCCCTAAGACCGCGCCAAGACTGCCCGAGAGGCCTCCAAGAGGGCCCCAAAACGGCCCAAGATGGCCCCAAGACGGCCCCACAGGCCCAAGACGGCCCCCAAAGGGGCCCACAAGAGAGAACGCGAGCAGAAAATCCGAGCTTTCCGCCCAAAGAGGCCCCCCAGGGTGCTTCTAGAGGCGCCCAGGAGACCCCTAAGAGCCCCAACAGAGGCCCAACCGAGGCCCAAGAACAGCCCCCAACATGCCTCCAAACTGCCTCCAAGAGGCCCCCGAGAGGCCATCCGATAAGCTTCATACCCACAACCCAGGCACGGAGGCGGGGCGGGCCGAAGGCCATCAGATAGGAATCAAATTGTGCACAGCCTACAACAGTAACTCGATTGTGCAACCGCACATGGCTTCTGTTTGCAACCCACCCAATAGGAATCAACTTGTCAATCGCCGACAAAGGAATATGAAGGAATCCCTTTGAACAGATCCTCAAACAATGTGGGAGGCGAGGCAAACAAAAAACAACGATACTGTAATCCCACCGTTTTTTTGTTCGCGCCCGCCCCTGGCCCCGCCCCCCCCGAATAAAAAAATGAACATACATTTCTGCGCTTTTCCGCCCTACTCCCAAACTTTTGCTGGCCCCCTTTCAAAGAGTCCCGTTGCGGGCGATGTGCAAACTGATTCCCAGTGTGCGGGTTGCAAATCGAATCCTTTTCGTGCGACTTTGCAGAAGGATTCCAGTTGAAAGCTTTTTACACTGTGATTCATATTGTGCGGAGTACCAATCATACCATTCTGTGCAGCGTTAAAGAGATGATGCTTTTGAAAGGCAGCTTACACATTGATTCCTGTTGCGCGGGTTAGACGTCGAATCCCTCTGCACGGCTTTACAATGGGATTCTTGTGTCGGCGAAACAAGCAACAACGCAAACCAAACGAAACAAAACAATAAAATCAAGCGAACAGCACAACGGAACAAACGCAAGCAACTAACGAAACAAAGAAACGCAACAACCAAACCAAACCAAACGATACAACGCGGGAGCGTCGAGAAGAACAGTCGCCCACTCTCAGGCAGCGGCGTTACATCCAGGGCCCATCTCCAGCCCAGGCTGCCCGGGGTTATAAAATGTCCGATGTCCATTGCCCGCTCGTCCGACTTCGTTGGCTCTCTTGGCGCAAGTGGCCGCCATTTGACACGTGTGGCCGCATTTTTAGCGCTCACGCTCACTCGTAGGCGCGCAGCCCTTGCCGCCGAGTTTACCGCGTGGTTGCCCCGACTGTTTGACGATCCCCTTGCAGCTGCCGTAGTTCCCCTTGTTGCATCCCTTCTGCCAGCCTGGCTGCCCTTATCCTTTACTGGTAGTTTTGCCTTTCCCTTTGGCTTGGCAGCCTCTTTCCACCTGGTATTTTCCACACCCATAGCATCTGACTGTACCTTTGCCTTTGCGTTTACTGACTGCGCCCACGTCTCCTTCACCCCAACCTCGGTCGCCGTTCCAACTCAGGTTACTCTCTTCGCCAATGGGCCGCCAGCTGCCTTCATCATTTCACCATGGCAACTCCCCAGATGAAACCCTGGTTCACAATTCTTTTCCTCTTTCCCGACTCTCCCGATGTCCCTTGCATCGCTGTTCTTTGGGTCAGCGCCCAGTCGCTTTATCCGAGCCCAATCCTCGCGCCGCAAACGCTGGCATGATTTGTTTGTGAGGGAACTGGGTGACTTGAAACAGTCGTGCTGCCAGTCTTCAAACCACTCCCCAGCATGGGCCATTATGGTTCTCATCGCTGTAACTGTGAAAAGTAAAGGCAGCTCATAACATGTGCCGTATAGTTTCGAGCTTCTCTATCAGGGCGCTCTACTCCTCGAGTTGAACAGATGTGTCACTGACCTTCTTGGGTCTGTCGGGGTCCATGGCTGACCTCATCTTGGCCGAGAAGGTCGCTCCCGCTACTGCGGAGCATCACTTGTAAATCTGCATGTGTGCAATCAACCATGCCTTCCATGTGGCCGCGTAGCTGGCTCCGTGCCTCAACGTTCTTAGTTTTTCTGTTAGGATGTACCATAGGTCCCCATCCAGCTCGTGAATCTCATCCTCGTCCAGAACATAACCATCGCCAAGTTCAGAGTATCTCCTCTTTTCTGGTGATGCTTTGTTGCGCTCCGCTGCTAGGATCTGGCACAGCCCTGTCCATGGTCCCCACTTATAAGTTCAAGAATGTGAGAAACTCACGATTCCAGGTGTTGGCTTGTGCCAGAGCGTTCCACAATCTGTCATTCCATCCTCGGAATTCCGTCCAGTCTCCGTTGAAGCTCTGTAATGACTGATTCGCTTGCGGGCCTGTGGTGCGGTTTGGTTTTTACCAGACCACATATGTTTCTGTTACCTGGGCGAAGATCGCAATTTGAATTTGTGGCGTCCAAAACCAGATAGCGGGCGGCAGAGAAGCCTTCCAACACGCTTCAGAAGGAGCTTCTGGGCAGCTTGACGGCACATGCATTGAGAAACAGTATGAACAAAATCTTCCAGGACAAGATGCAAGCTCGCAGAAGGCGCAGCGGCGCTGCTACACCGACGCCTGAACGAGCTCCAGGGCTACCCTTGCCGGCCAGCTTCAAATCTGAAATCTTCTCAGCGCTCTACGAGCTATCCGCGAACTCGCTTTCTCTTCGATGATTTTCCAAGTTGGTCACTTGCGCGTTCACTTGCGTGGTTTTCATCTCGTGCATGCTCTCGCGGCTAATGATGCTCAGTAGTGACGCGTTCGATGTTCCGAGCATCCTCGTTAATGGCACCGCGTGTTCGCTGGACAAGTCTTGTTTACCTTATTGCTATTCAAGGGAGTTCGTCACTGCGTCATTGTGGGCCTGCAGGCCAGCTTTGACGAACTCACAATCACCTTGGTTGTACGCGGTGTGACAGTTACGTCCAAAGTTGGCGAAGCTCCTCCTTCCTCCTCCTTCCTCCTCGTCCTCGTCTGCCTCCTCCTCCGCCGCGATCCCCCCCACCTTATCTACAATCACGGCAGGCGGGCGCCAGCCCAGCCCCAGCGCGGCGGCGCGAAGCGGGCCGCCGCTGCCTGCGCCGCGCGACGGATCAGTCCCGCGCGGACGCTACTCCAGGATCGAGAGAGGGAGGCTCCTCCTCCTCCTCCTCCGTTCCCGCCTCCTCCTCCCTCCTCCTCCCTCCTCCTCTTCCTCCTCCTTCCTCCTCCTCCTCATCCTCTTTGTCCTCCCTCCTCTCTCCATCCCTCCCTCCTCCTCCTCCTCCTCCTCCAACTGCTCTTTTTCAGCCCAGAAGCCTCGGAGTCCGAATCAGCACACGGCAAATACCGTCGCCCCGCGCCCAGAGGCACTTGAAGCGCCACGATCGGAGTCGAGGACCGCCGCCGACGCCGCCTTTCGGTTTATGTCGACGCCGAGGTTGAGGTCGAAGCCCGAGTCGAGGCCCCGCTGACGCCGAGTGTTGGTTGACGACGACGCCGAGGTCGAGGTCGAGGCCGACACCGAGGTCAACGCCGACCATGCGTCGAGACCGAGGCCGATTACAAAGACGAGGTCGACGCAGACGCCGAGGTCGAGGCCGATGGCGTGTCGAGGACCGCCGACGCTCGCGGATTGCCAGAGGCATCCCGGGCCCCAAGGTGCCCCTAGCTCTTCGCGCCATTCTCGAGCTCCTGGGGCCCTCTTAGCCTCATGGGGGGAGCTCTGGGGGGCGTGGACTCCCTGGAAATGCTGGGGATGTCTCGGGCCAGGGGCAATTCTAGCAACACCGAGACACCGAGGTCGAGGATCATCACAGCAGCCATTTCAAGGATCGACACTTCGTCGCTGGCGCTGACGCAGGGACGCGGGGGAATAAGAGGTGTCTGGTGTCAGCGGCGTATGGAGCAGAGGAAGCGAGAAACGCAGGGGTTGGGGAACCCTCTGCAGCACCAGATCGAGGTCCCAGATCTGGCCAGCATGGGCGCAATCCCTCCAAACGCCGACCACAACATACCAAACAATGTTGCAATCAGTCGAAACTTCCGCTGGCGCCCATTTACAGTGTCTGCCCCGCGCGGTGTGGTGCTTTGTATCCACGAAGTCCCTGGCTGGTCGCCTGCGGCGACACGATGTCGATTGCCTTCCCAGCGCACCAGAAGACTGTAACCCCCCAACGGAACACAACATCCCGAGGCTTGGTGTTAGGGAGACAATGCTGCCGCAGCCTGAACGGTCGCAGCCGGGAGGGCTGAGCATTGCCAGCGCACTATAATATTGGTCAGAGCGGCGATTGCCAATGCCAAACGCAACATGTGGAAAGGCAACCCAGACCGGGACCGTGATGCACATGGGCCTCGTGAGGTGGAGCGGTGCAATCAAGGCAGCGGTGCATACGCTCGCGAGCGCACGTTGCATTGCAACGCCATGCACGGCAGCTCCGAACACTAAGATACGCAGAGGTGCAGTTTAGAGGCCTGCCACCACGAGCGCCATGAAAGCAAAAGTGGGTGTGTGCTGCCCCAGGACATAGTACAGCATCAGCGCGAGGATGCTGTAGGTCAGCACCCAGCACCCTATGGCAAGCAGAGAGACGAGCGAGGTGAGTACCAGGAATAGGAGCTGCTGGAGCGGGTCTGCCAGAGACGTGGAGGACATCCAACATACCGATCAGGCGACGGCTCCAAAGCCGATGTTTCTGTTGACGGGCCCGGGGCCCCGAACAGAGGGCCCGCGGAGGCCGACAACAAAAAACTACAACAAAAACTAGCGGCGTGATTCTGGTCATGAGGAGAGGAAGCCGGGGATACGCGTAGCCGACCCCTCCACTCGGCGGCGCACCCGAGAGAGAAGGCAGAGGCGGGACTTCACAGAAGGCTCAAGAAGGCCTCCGGCCTTCTCAGAACCACTCTTGGCCTTGTCCGAAACCCCGCCGCCGTCTGAGAAGGCCTGCCCCCATTGCACCTCCCCCCCTGGGCGCGCCGCCGATCCGCCTCCCTCCCTCCGCACCGACCGCCGCGCTCCGCGCGATGAAGGGGGGGGGGTCCGCTGAGGAGCAGCACCGCTAGGCCGGCGGCGAGCGCGGCGGTGGCCTCGGCGGGCGCAGGTCGGCTGGCCGCCGCCGCGGAGCGCGCGCTCGCGGAGACTCCCTCTTTTCTCTTCTCAGCGACACCACCGCCACAACACGGGCCACCGCGTGAGGGACGATGCCACTGGCGGCAGCGAAGCTGGGGAGTCGATGGGCCACCCAGTCGCAATACCATCGTCGTCCTGCCCCCTTCAGGCGGGACGATGATGCCAGCGCGGGGAAGACAATAGGCGGAGGGAGAAGGGAAACGAGGAGAGACTTGGGCGGCGGCCGCCGCTGCGGGTCAGCTTCCGCTTCGGAGGAGGAAGCATACGGCCATCGTGCTACCAAGGGGCCCATCATGTAAGTGACGAAGGGGCTTTTCTGGCCACGGCGAGCCTCGACCACGAATAGGCTGCCTGACCTCGATCTGAGTAACGGCACGAAATCAAAGCCCCTCCTGAACCCAAATTGGTGCTTGTTTCGGCGTCTTGACTATACGCACGCAGGGAATGAAAGCCGTTCGTTGGCGACAATACAACCGAAGACTGGCCAAACAAACAATGACATGGAAACCAGCCGAAGCCGACAGGCCGCAAGCTGACCAGAAGGGCGCTGCGACGCGGCAGCGACGCAACAGCCGACCGAACGTAACCGACCGAACGCAACCAACTGCGTCGCACCCGAACGTATCGAACCGCTGACACCATGGCGAATGCCCACGAACGCAAACGTATAGAAGTCAATGTTCTTGCGCGCGCCGATTGCTCAAACACTGCGCGTCCTGGGCCACAATTTCCTGGTGCGACTTCACCCCAGTATGTCAAAAGCCGCCAGGGCAGCCCTGTTAACAGCGTGTTTGAAGGAGGTAAGTGCTTGCCAGCCGCTGTCGTCGTGTTGAATAGCACGAGGGCAACGAGGATGGGATGACGAAGCGAGGGATGAGGATGACGATGCTGATGATGATGATGACGGCGATGATGATGATGATGATGATGATGATGATGATGATCATGATGATGATGCTGATGATGATGATGGCGATGATGATGCTGATGCTGTTGTTGTTGTTGATGATGATGATGGATGGGGGCGGAGGAGGAGGACAAGGACAAGGACATCCGCACTAAGGGGGTGCAGCGTCAAAACACCTACGCTGGTGTCTTACGCACTTCTGCCAAAATCCCTTGCGATTGGTTGTGCAACAGTCCTGCCTTCTCACTAGGGCCGACTGGGGGCTGACCACGTTGTTAAAGGACTGATCTCCGAGGTGGCCCCGTAAGAGAGGCTCGCTACCTTAAGTTCACGAGTCCCTGCGGGTCAGTGCGGGGGGAGCGGCTGCTGGCCCTTCCGCGTGCCCAAGGGGAGAGGACGCGCGGGCTTAGCAGCGCGCCGAAGCCAAGGGGGAGGAGACGACGACACGACCAATCAAAAGGAGGAGAGGGGGGAGGGACGGAAGGCCCATGACCCCAAACTGTTGCTGGGGGGGGTCCTTACTCTACCGTTTTAACTCTATGCTCCCCATCACAAGCTTGGCTCACTTCTCGGTCTGGCCGAGAGATGCCGCATGCATTGTCGCATCTGTACTCTGATACCCTGCTGTAGTATCAAAAGGAGGAGGAAGAGCAGGAGGAGGATGGCTCCTCTATGTTAGAGCACGCTGTCGGTGCAAAGAATGTTTGACCGCCACGCCAACTGGCAAAACAATCCCGCTACCCGCTTTGCGGGGGGGGCGGTATCGAGTCGTTTCGCCATCTGATCGTGCTGTGTGCACTGGGGGCGACCCCAGTGCACTTCTGGACGCGTGGCATCCGAATTCGTTTCACAAACTACGCTGAGGTCGCCGCGCAGGTGGCGGGACGCAAGGCCAAATCCAGATGCTCTGGCCGCCCTGGACCCGACCAGGGCATGACACTATAATACACCCTGGACCGACATGGACTCGACTAGGACCTTGATCCCAGACGCGAAGCGTCCTTACATAATAGGCGCGAAGTCGTCGCACAGGCACCTGAAACGACAAGTGAGTCTGAACTTCCTGGGCTCGCCCAAGGTTCGACACCAGAAGTACGGGGGCCGTCCGGGACCCGACTGGGACACGATGCCCGACGCGCAGCGTCTGATACATATCTTAGTGAGGCACTTGGACAGAAAGCGAAACATAAGATGGATACCCAGGCCTCCCATGACTCGACATGGCTCGACACCGTACAAGAATAAAGCAGCAAATAACGAATTCAAAAACAAGAGCTGCCCAGCACTGCAACTGCGAAAAACATTATCGATTTCTGGCTTCCCTGGGCTCGGCCAGGGCTCGAAACCAGAAAAATCGGAAGGCCATCCAATGACTCGATTGGGACCAAACCCCCGTCGCGGAGCGTCTGGACATATAGTTCGCGATGATACATCACTCACAAGAGACCTGAACTGCTCTGGCTTCCCTGGACCCGACTAGGGCTTGACACCGGAATCCACCCGTGGTCGTTCTAGACTCGACTAGGATCTGGCACCACACGCGCAGCCTCTGAATGTATTCAGGATTGCCGAAATTGCTGAAAACGGTTCGCATGTTGCAATTGAAGCAGCTGGTGACGCCGAGAAGGTCAGACTCATGTGTGATATAATGCATTTAGCCGCGGAACTTGCCGATGCCGCCCCTGTGGATTGTCACGTCCTTCTGGCAACATTAGCTCGATGTCCCAGTGGCTGAGTGGGGTTTCCCCACGTGGAACCTCTCCAGATTCTCAATGACTGTCCTCGTTGGTCTGCCCCGTTTGTGGGTGCACGGTTCCGCCAGTTTGATCCGCCAGCGCCCGACAACGTAGCACCCGCAAGTGGTGGAAATGTCCAGGCTCGAGTCTGGTACTGTTCACAACATGCAAAACGCGACGTGGATCTTAGCGAAAGTGGTGGCGGACATGACATTCGATCTGCACGGCTTGAAGTACGTATCGCTGCGCCATCCAAGCCGACAGGTTTCGCTCATGAAGCGTATAGTTGTTTTGTTCCGCTGGGCACTTCCCTCACAATCAAGGCACCGTGCGCGTCAAAGCTGTCAACGCAGATTGCTATGGCCCGTTAGCACGATGGATGGAACTGAAGTCGCATATTTAGAGTGCGTTTTTTTACTTGTGCGGCGCGTCTTTGACCACATCCAACAAAACATGGCAACATGTGTACGCGCAGACGAATCCATTGCACCGATCAGCTCCATGGTACTTGCCATCGAATATGAAGCCACGACCTGCTGAGCCAAGCAGCGGGCTGCCTTAACGGCCGCGTCGCCGGCGAGGAAATAATTCGTATATCAGAATGAGGGGGCCGAACGGTCATTCATTGTCCCTGGGTGCGTGGCTGAATTGAGAATCCGTGGTGGGGATTATGCTTGTTGTTGTTGTTGAACATTATTACTTCTAAAGAATAATTATTGTTGGGGCCCCTGGTGCACGGCCCCCTCGCCGCGCCTAGGCCGCAGCCATGTTTTCATCATTTTCGTGAGGAAGTCTCCGGCAAAACGGGTTGGTCCGGATCTGGTTGTTTTGTTGCGGGCGGCTTTCGCTCGCAAAAAATAAGGCAAAGTGGACATTTCTTGTTCTAACATAACCAAACTTCAAGAATCCCTTGCAAAAAAAGGTACAGTGGACATTCGCGCGCGCAAGACGAAATCCTTCCAAAACCTTAGTGTTCGTAGCGATTTTAACATAAAAACATAAAAAAACTACTGGTTTTTCAAAAAAAAAAAGTGTCAAAATTTCATCCCGCGCGCTCTTGCGGATTTGTAGGAAACCCAACACTTTTTAAACATTTCTGTCAAACGGGCTTTCGCGAGCAACTTTTTCACGTGCTTCGAACTTCTCCAACAACGGTTGCGCACCTGCCAGGGCCATCATCCCTGTCAAATAATACCATGCGGGACACATTCGTTTTTTCTTCGCGCGCGCACGCCGAAATCTTCAAAAACCATTGGGTTTCTTAGGAATTTTAGCACCGCGCAACATAAAATCATACGAATCGCACCGTAGGTCCTCGAAAAACATCTGTACGAATTTTCAAATTCTGTACATGCGCCAGTGTAGTAGCCACGGTCGTCCGCAGGCCACGAAGTGAAGTGTCCGAACGTCATAGGGCGGGAAGCTGGGTGTGGGTGGTGGCGAAGAGTCGTTTGGAAATGTGGTAGAGCTTGAACCGGCCCCCCCACAAAGTGGGGGTATTGGCGGGCGTCGTATGAAAACCCTGGCACTGGTGAGAACGGAGTGTCCCCACGTGCTAGTAATTGTTGTTGTTGTTGTTGTTGTTGTTATTGTTGTTGTTGTTGTTGTTGTTGTTGTTTGATGTCGTCGTCCCCCCCCGACCCACCCGAGACCCACCCGGCGACCCACCCCGCGACCCACCCTGCGACCCACCCTGCGACCCACCCCGCGACCCACCCGCAACCCAACCCCTCGACCCACCCGCGACCCACCCCGCGACCCACCCGCGACCCACCCCGCGACCCACCCGCGACCCATCCGCGACCCACCCGCGACCCACCCCGCGACCCATCCGCGACACGCCCGCGACCCACACGCGACCCACCCCGCGACCCACCCGCGACCCACCCCGCGACCCACCCGCGACCCATCCGCGACCCACCCGCGACCCACTCGCGACCGATCCACACTAGTTTGAAGAAAGCATCGGCGCCTCCGGCGGGCTCGTTGCATAACTTGTGAAACTTTGGCGCCTGCGGCGGGCTTCTCCAGAGTCTCGCAGACTGCCGACGACCGCCCCCTCACTCTTATCCGCATCTGCGGGGTGTAACACCCTGCAGTTGCGGTTGAGAATGAGGAAACGGACACGGGGTGGGTCGCGGGTGGGTGACGGGCGAGTCGCGGGTGGGTCGCGGGGTGGGTCGCTGGCGGGTTGCGGGAGGGTCGCGGGTGGGTCGCGGGTGCGTCGCGGGTGGGTTGCGCGTGGGTCGCGGGTGGGTCGCGGGTGGGTCGCGGGTGGGTCGCGCGATGGGTCGAGGGCCAGGTCGCGGGTGTG